ATTTTTGATCTAGCGTAGCCAATAGACAATGAAATTGTCCCAAATTCACATATTATATTCAGAATCAAGTGTAGATTACGATGGCAACATAATTTTTTGAAAACGAGAATCGCATTTGAAAAATACGAATTTTTATAAGAAATGGCGCGTCAAAAGTTTGGAAACTTCTCAATTCCAAAGCGAATTCGGCAAAATAGCTCTCGAATCTACATGATAAATTAGTTATTCGATGAGTAGCTGTGAATTTCTATGTCAGCGTCGTTTTTATTGACATGGAGTTGATTATAAAATAATTTTAGGACTTTTAAGTCGAACCCTGCACACTGTGAACTAAATCGCATTGTTTGGTGGGATTCTTAACTGGAATGTGGGTTGAGCGACATGCCAGTTCTTCCGTGGGATGTAGAACTCAATTAGACTTTAGATCTTGACTTGGTCGCTTCATAACAGCTTTTTTCTGGGTTTAGGAAGGCGGCAGTGAGGAGGTAGGCCTGCATTGGGTCATTTCCGCGATAGAAAACCCATCTTTTCCGGCTAGTTCTGACTATCGAAGGGAAGCATTGTATTCTACAGACTATACTTGTACTTAGCCCAACCCACATTTCGCTGGATACTGGGGAATCGCCGAATGGTCGGACACATGTTCATCCATGACAGTACTTCCACTATTTCTGACTGTTGGAGACTGGTACTTAAATTAGGTTTCCTGTTGATAAAACACTTCACAGGGTCTACAACATCATTTTTACATCATTTTAGGAAGACAGAAATCCCATTCGTCGCTGAGGACAAAGTTTTACCTCTCGCCTTCGGTCCATGTTAGCCGTTAGTGTGCGGAAGCCAGTTGGGCCATCCTGCTCTTGAAGCCCAACAATGGCTTCTTGTTGGGACATCATCCGTAATATTCACCAGGTCGCGGCCGATGTTGTGCTGCATTTTGGACTTCATACGATTGGGAAAAGTATACCGTCCAATATAGGAGAGAAGTTTACACGCTGGGCCTGGAGGAACAAGATCTTCGGGAGTTACTTATGGCAACTTTAGAGTGCAATATTTTCCAGTTTGATGGCAAGTTATACAAACAACACCGAGGGTTAGCCATGGGGCTAAGAATAGCACCCTTACTAGCCATAGTATTTCTCGATCGTTTGGAACGTAGATGTCTGACGGCTGGAATAGCATTGTACAAGCGATATATTGACGATGTGTTCATTATTGGCTCTTCCACGAGGGATTTAGAAGACACGCTAAGAAACCTCAATTCACAGGATCCCAACATTAAATTCACGGTCGAAGAGCCAAATGAGGAGGGTTTTGTTCCGTTTCTCAACACCAAAGTTCGCATCAACGAAGGAGAGAAGGAACTTCAATGGTACAAGAAACCTGCATCGAGGAATATACTTTTACATGCTAGAAGTTGCCACCCCATCTACATGAAGGCCAACGTCGTCCGCAATCTGATTTCAACCAAGGATAAAGTCTGCAGTCAGCCTTCAAGTGAAGTAGACATAATGGTGGAACGTATTTTGAGAGAAAACGGATATTCCAATACGAACTTGCAATCATGGAGACCGTACTCCACACCTGATGGGATCACCATGATAATGCCGTATGTTAACGAAAAAACAGCATGGAAGGTCAACAATGTCGTAAGGAATTCCTCGCTCCCAGTACGACTTGTGTTCCGCCCACCCCCGAACTTGAAGCGACTGCTGACATACTCCAGACCTTACGAGGATAAATGTGGGAGGAATGGTTGCATCTACTGTAAGGACGACAAAATATGCCAACTAAGAGGTACAGTTTATGCAATAGAATGCCAAGGATGTGGGCATAAGTATGTTGGAGAAACAAGAAGACCTCTCCACAAACGACTTGATGAACATCGGAGGGCTCTACAAAATCCGGCCTCATATCCAGGTAACAGCTTCTCCAAACATAGAACCCAACAACATGCCCATGGGGATCCACCCACCCTCAACGTAAAAGTCCTACACCGTTCCGTTGAAAACACAGTGGAACGCAAAATACTGGAGGCTCTGGAAATAAAAAGACTAGCCCCGGAAATAAATAGCAGAGACGAGTTACGTGACTCTCTTCAACTCATCGCATGACTGCAGTTATCATCACTGTGGAATGAATGCGATATTTTGGGAAATAACGGTCGTAGCACGTCAACGCTATTTAAGGGTAAGTCTAGGGTAGGGAACAGTTCCTGCTTCACAGACCGACAAGGGTGGTAAGTGTTACACTTTTGAGAGTGGACAGCAGGTGGGTCAGTTAATATATTTTAATATATTAACAGACTTTAAGAAAGCTTATAATTTTCATTTCAGGCTCGACAAAGGCGCTAAGCGCCGAAAGCTCGCCAAAAACAGACCTAAGCTCTTGCAAAACACTTGCAAACACACATTTTTGCAATTTCTTTACTAG